TTGATTCAGTTATGAAATTTTGTGCGATAATCTTAAGTGGCAATTAAAAACCCGCAAGTGATTTACAAAGGAGGCCACATATGGAGCAAGTGTGAGGATTGCGGAATGAGATCACTGTTAGAATGGCTGACAATTTAGATCTTGCTCTCACTTCTTGAAGATGATTCAGACAAGCAGATTGAAAACTGCTGAGTCCATTAAAAGGCGTTGATTTCCATTCTACCCACTCCAAGGCTAAGCGCTCAAGGGTGTTATGAGGTATATTGACAGCTGACAAGTTGTTCTTCATCTTGTCTTTATATCTTAGCCATGGGCGTCCTACATTTCTGTAGCCCTGATCTAACTGGCTGTACATTAGGATCTTGGGTATCCTGTCATCAGACATTCTCAAGACATGACCATTCCATCGTAATTGAGACTGTATGAGAAAAGTCTCGATTCCTCCAATATTAAACCTGTTAAACAGGTCTACGTTAAATGTCCTATCTTGAAGGTTAACTCTACAATTGGCACGCATATATATATATATATATATATATATATATATATATATCGAATGGCCAGGATGATAGAAGTAATAAGATTTGCTTATAGGGTGCCTATTTAAAATACAAATATCAACTAACAATAACGTTTGAAATAATAAAATTGACGATTTAAAAAAATAAATACATTCATTTTTTTTGTGTATATATATATATATATATATATATATATATATATATAATAGAAGAGTTCTTGAAAGGATGCGATGTAAAGGTTTATGTTTCAAAACGCTGTAAATTTTCACACAACTAACTACTACTACTACTACTACTACTAATAATAATATAAATGATAAATATTATCAAATATATATATATATATATATATATATATATATATTAATGGACAAAGTCCGACAATTATTTTAAGACATTTTTTATGTTCATACGTTCTTTTTATAGATACAAACAGAGAATTTACTTAAATATTTGTATCTATAAAAGAACGTATAAAATTCAAAAATGTCTAAAATATTTGTCGGACTTTGTCCATTTCATAATGTGTGACGTCATTTGTTTACATTTGGATACGCTTTGAGCAGATATGAATGTATGAGAGAAAATCATGGAGAATTGTAGTTTAAAACAGTAAAATCGACCTCATAACTGAAACGCTCCTCTGTGGCGAAATCGGTAAAAGCACGTCAGGCTATATGGACGGTTCCGTATAGGATACAGGTTCGATTTCATTATAAACAGAGCATTTACTTAAATATTTGTATCTATAAAAAGAACATATGAATATAAAAAATGTCTTAAAAAATACACGCACACTAGGATAGGTTGATTTTCAACTTTTTTTTTTTTGAATATCAAAAAGTATTACCCAGTAAAGTTGGGTATTGGTATGATAAGTACTGACACCAAAAAGTAGATTTGTAACTTGCACCAATTTCTTAGCATTTAGTTTAAAAGATCGTCTACCATGAAGCACCTGAAAGACCTTGTTTCTGATATGTTTAGATATGAAATTGCTTAAAAATAATTATAATTTAAATGCAAAAATGTTTGTCACTTTATATTATTCAAATGAAAGGAATATAGTATATCAAAAAGTAGCAATTAAATTGAAATTATAAACCCCACCCCCAACCCAAAGATAAGGTGCATTTTACCTCATTAATTGAGATACGTCAGTAATAACATTGCAAGATATTGTAAAACAGTTATTTTTTTCTGTTATCATTGAAACAAAAGCAAACAAGTATGAATTCTGCTAGGAACAAATTAAGGGATGATGATTTTAATATAAACTACCATTGTAATTTGAAAATTCATCTAAAAATTTACTGGTTACTAATAGTGGGTCTTTTAAGTTTCGATTTTATATAATAATTGTAAGGCATAAGGTTATAAAAGACATGAGAAAAACATGAATGCTGTGAGGATAATAGCAATTTATTATTATTGCATCATATTAAACTGCTCTACATAAGGGCTCTTTGAAGCAAAGGAAGGCCTCATTTCCTGGCATAAAACATTTGTAATGATGTGCCTGTGCCTTGCTTCATTTCCATTGACTGATTGGGAAGCTACAGTTGTTAATTATACTGCCCTTTTGACATTTTGTGAGTGTGAAGGCAAATCAGACAACTCTAATTTTGTCCCAATCATTGATGACCCCAGAAGATCATAATCATAAAATTCTTCTGTGAATCCAGGCTCACAAACTCCAGTTTGGGACAGGTCAATCAACTGAGACCAATGTGTTGAATCAAAATTTATCTTTGATATTTTTAACCTCTTTCTGGTTGGCTCTCCAATCCTGAAAAAAATAAAACAAAAATTAAATCAAAATAAAAAAAAAACAACCTTGTCTTAATTTTATAATGAAATTAGGATAGTACTTTAAAATGAAACTATAAATCGATGAAATCATTTAATCAATATTATGTGAATTACTTACCTAATGGCTAAAATTCTTTTTTTTATAGCTTCTTCTCTCATTTCCAGTTCATTTGATTTCAGTATTGCATACATTTTCTGGTACCAGACCAAAATCATTATGTTGAATAATTTCAAATGCAATCTCCTGAATTTCAGGTGGTAGTTCTTGAATTCTTTGCAACATATTGAAAATATACGATTGCTGGTTATGAAATTTATTGTCCCTTTTAATTTCAAACCAGCTAACTGCATACACTCCAACAATAAACTGGATAAGGCTGTGTAGTTTGGAAAATATGGTTTTAGGGTAAATGCCTTGAGTCCACAAACACATTAGTCTGGTGGCTAACGTCAACCAGCTTGCTTGATTTAAGGGCCCAATTTTCCATGCAGCATATCTAAGGTTGACTTTCCCTAGTGAAATCCCTACTGCATATTCTAAAAGAAGTATCTGATCCCTACTCAGATGAACCGTCTGTTTGATGCTAGAATGTTGGCTATCTAGAGGACTAACAATGGCTACAATTTTGACATGGGGCAAATTATGATAGTCATTTGCACTCAGTTTCCCACGTAGACCAATAAATGATGTCGGACTTCTTGTGCTTCCATCAATATGCTTAAAAACAGCTCCGAACGGAAGCTCATTTTGATGTAAAGGGCAACCAATTTGTGTAATTTTCTTTTTATTTGTTTCTCTAGAACTGTAACTAGCCCAGCTTCACAGCCAGTATTTCTATGGGTGTTGTTCAGTAAAACGTCCTTTAGAGTATCAACACTGTTATACTCCTGCCAAAATACTAGCAACCTCCTTTGCTAGAACAGCACCAGTTTTTCCAGTAGTAGTGATAACACTATAAGTGAGGTATTTTTCCACTTTCACCACAACCCATCTCCTTTGTGAATGTTAAATGGTGTTCTGTTTCCTGTGTTTTCTTGAATTTTTCTTTCCATCTGCCTCCACAATTTCTTTATATAGCAATGTATCTTTGTCATGTCCTCCATCAACACCAATACAAATATTTTTTTCTGCTTTATCAATGTGTTTTTGATGGACATTTTGTTTTGTTCTTTCTTTTGCGCTGACTATTTTTGATTTATCCAAAATTATGTTTTCGATATTAACACTTGCTTTGAGAAGGCCCATAGCTTGCAAATCTAAAAGAAAGGCATTTGCAAGGCTTGTTCTTAAATTTGATGAACCATCACCCCTGATCAACTCAGTTGCATACCGAGGAATTTTTAAAAGGCTGCAAACATCCTTGGAATGCCAGGCTCATACTTTGCATATATTTCATCGCTATTTAATGACTGGGAAAGAATAACATCCTGATCATAAGATGTGGAGGAGATGAATCAATTTGTTTTTGTCTTTCTCCAACCACTACACTCTTTTTGGGTTTCTGAATGGCAGTTTTATCAACAGGTCCAAGTTGGAAATTACCCTTGGGTCCTATTTTGGCCCTCTGGTCTTTTAAATATTCTCGGTTTTCCATTCGTTCCTGAAATGTTAAATTTTGAAATAGCAAAGTTTTTAGAAAATAACTATACTGAATGATTTATCGAAAAGTAGGCGGCTCCGTTTTATCTAATGGACAAGGTGGTCCTCCAAATTTTGTAGCAATAACACTGCAAGTAGAAAGTACAGTTCGTTTTTCAATCATTTTTATAAAAATATCTGAAAAAAATGTCCATTCTGTTATTATAAAAAATTAAACAAATTGAATTATAAATTCCAAAGTGAAATAAAAAATAAAAAAAAACCCTGGAAAAATATAATAAAAGATGAAATAATAAGTATGTAGTTACTTACCTTAAGAAGTAAATGCAACGCTTCTTACGTGTAAATATAATGTAAAATGCAAAAAAAAAAACAAAAAAAAACACGTGAATGAAAAAATATCCAAAAAAAAAAATTAAATATCACAGTGAATATAAATTTCTTTCTTTTTTTTTTTTAATAATTAAGTTTATTAAAATAAAAAAGGAATACACTTAATTATTTTTGTGTTTTAAATCGGCTCAATAAACTTGAAATAAATGTCAGCAAAAAACACGTGGAATGCTAAAGATATTTCCGGTGCAGACTGAAACAATAGCCGCCTAAAACAAGCTCGAAGTTGTTTATAGTTTATATTATCTTAAATGAAATATTCTTGTATCTTTGCTTTTTAGTTTACTTTTCTTTAATTTACCCAGAATTGCAAGATTTTGAATAAAATAAAACATTTTTAAGGTTATTTTCTACATTTTTTTTCTTCAAAACCCGGTGTTAATTTGACCTAGTTATCTTTTCAGTTAACACCGGGCGAAATTCAGAATATTCGATTGTGCTACTATTTAAATGCATTTGCGCAAAAATTGGTAAATTTTGAGAAAAAAAAAAATTTCAGTTATTATTTATGTTAATTAGTAACTTTCTCTGGGTAGAGTTAGTTGTGGTTTCAAAATCGACCCACCCTAACACACACACACCCACACACACACACACACACACACACATATATATATATAAATAAAGATAGATAGATAGATAGATAGATAGATAGATAGATAGATAGATAGATATTAAAAGGATTGAGATAGATAGATAGATAGATAGATAGATAGATAGATAGATAGATAGATAGATATTAAATAGATAGATAGATAGATAGATAGATAGATAGATAGATAGATAGATAGATAGATAGATAGATAGATAGATAGATAGATAGATAGATAGATAGATAGATAGATAGATATTAAAAGGATTGAGATAGATAGATAGATAGATAGATAGATAGATAGATAGATATTAAAAGGATTGAGATAGATAGATAGATAGATAGATAGATAGATAGATAGATAGATAGATAGATAGATAGATAGATAGATGAAAGAAAGCGACAGATTGACATGGAGAAAGAAAGAGAGAGGGAACCGAGGTGGGTAGATAGGGAAGGAGGTAAATAAATTATCCACTGCTAAAGAATTCCATAGTAATCCGGAATAAACTGAGTAATTATTAAGCAAACAAACAGTTTGATCTAAGCCTTTCACGTTGCAATGTTCATTTCAAAGCAGGTTGAACTAAAATGAAAAGCGGCCATTGCTAACCCTGTCCATTGCTACTGTGTCCAAGTTACAACTCCTCTACCTCTATTGACCACATGTCTACCACAGTATTGTAACAGCTTTTGAACTTTATCCTTTGGAAATCCCAAAGAATAGGTATCCTGAGACAGGAAACGCTAAAACCAGGAAGAAAAGGTATCGGGAAAAAGTGAAGACATTTAGAATGAAAAACAGACCCGTCTAAAGAATTCAGTTTAAGAATTCAGTCAATGGCAAATGAGGTACGTATAGTGACAAAAGAAGGAGAACATCGCTGGATCCCAAAATAGAATCTTTGATTGGTTGGTCGAAGTCTGATGGCCAGCGCTTCTTTAAGGCATTTTATATCAGTAAAGTTTGGAATTGAAAAAGAGAATTTGATTTGCTTCGATTTTACATTCTTTGTCAATTAGTTAACCTTCTTTCTTTCACGTTCGCTTATACCGTTCCATTTTTCACATCATTGAGGAAAGAACTCACCTCGCGTAATGGTTAACGAGACTACTAACCATCACAACAATATGCAGCCTATTTAGAATCTAAATCTAATTCTAGCACAAGACCAGAAGTTTGGAACACTCAAAGAGGATTGAAATCACGATAAGGCTATCGTTTTTAATTATTACTCTCTGGTAGGTAAATAGGGCTTTACTTATCTAGACTTTATTTATTCAAGCGCAGTACTAACTTGGCGGCAAGGTGTCATCATTATACAATTTTAATTGATAGATATAACCGTAAGTTCTATGTTAACAGTTTCTTCTCTCACACTTCTTGCTTGTGGCACTCTCTTACGGTTTCTTGCTTTTCAGTCAAGTTTGATCTTCAAAAATTAAATGAAATATCAATCGTTATCTTCTCTACTTTTCAAACCGCACACCAACGTTTAAGCGGTAGCCTGTTTCACGCAGAATTCAGCTGGAGCCTGCCAAAGTTGATTAAGATCAACATTTATCTTAAATAGCAAAGGTAATATCACAAACAACTGTGAGATTGTTCCTCACTGGGTGCTGCAGGAATACTGACTAATACCAAAATTGAACAAATATCAACAACGGTGTTTATTGTAGAATATTCGTTCCTCTCCAGCAAAACCAAAAGGTGAAGCAGTTCCGGTCTTATGGTTTTGACTTATATTCATTGATTAAGAACGTGGAAAGTCTTCAAGCCCAAGATTGGAAAAGTGGGAAAATGGGATCCGTGTTACTTCCCACTAGAAATTAAACCAACACCTTGTCCGTATGAGTTTTTCCATAATTGAGTTTATTTTTCTCATATTATCTCACCCTCAATAACACATTCGGTCTTAGTGGATTTCTTGCCTTGCTTAGGGTGAAATGATACAAAAAATATTTAAAGGTCAGACATCCGATAAAAAAAATCTAAATGGGGCATATCGAAGGCTCCGGTCGTGTATTTTACATTTCATTCTTTTGTTTAAGCACTTCGACGTGGTGTAATGGTGAACAAGCTTGTCTCGATAGACCGAATACGACTGAGTCGTGAGTTCGATCCTCACTGGGTGTCTCATGGTTTCGGCCTTGTGCCACATTTAAGCTACGCTGAGAAAATCATTATATGATATTTGGTCTTGAATTTTTTTTTTTTTTTTGGTTGACTATAAATTTGTTACATTTCTTAGGTTTTAGATTGAATTTTGCTTTATTCATGATACCGGCTGAACGAATACTCAGGTGGTAATTTCAATCTGAAGCAGGTGGTAATTTTAATCTGAGGCCAGTGGTATTCTCAATATGAGCCAGGTGGTAATTTCACTATGAGCCAGGTGGTTATTTCAATGTGACAGGTGGTAAAATTCCATCCGAGGCAGGTGGTAATTTCAATATGAGCCAGGTGGTAATTTTAATCTAAGGCAAGTGGTAATTTTAATCTGAGGCGAGTGGTAATTTTATTCTGAGGCAGGTGGTAATTTCAATATGAAACAGGTAGTAATTTTAATCTGAGGCCGGTGGTAATTTCAATATGAGACAGGTGGTAATTTTAATCTGAGACAGGTAGTAATTTTAATCTGAGGCAGGTGGTAATTTTAATGTGAGGCAGGTGGTAATTTCAATATGAGACAGGTGGTAATTTTAATCTGAGACAGGTAGTAATTTTAACCTGAGGCAGGTGGTAATTTTAATGTGAGGCAGGTGGTAATTTCAATATGAGACAGGTAGAAATTTTAATCTGAGGCAGATGTTAATTTTAATCTGAGACAAGTGTTAATTTTAATCTAAGGCATGTGGTAATTCTAATCTGAGACATGTTGTAATTTTAATCAGAGGCAAGTGGTAATTTCAATATGAGACAGGTAGTAATTTTAATCTGAGGCAGATGGTAATTTTAATCTGAGGCAGGTGGTAATTTTAATCTGATGCAGGTGGTAATTTTCCATAATTGAGTTTTTCTCATATTATCTCACACTCAGTAACCCCTTGCGTCTTAGTGTCTTTATTTCCTTGCTTGGAGTGAAATGATAAAAAAATATTTAAATGTCCGTCATTCGATAATAATCATAAATGTGACATATCAAAGGCTTCTTTATTTTTACGCAAAATTGTCATTTTTGTTATTTTTAGTTTCGTGGAAAGTCTTAATAGCGAGGCATCAAACTCAGCAAACTAACAACAGTTTGCGAGATAAGTTCAGTAGATGCTGGTCATTGGTATGGACAGTTTGTATTTGGCACGGCCTTTCTGAGACTGCACCAAGAGACACCCAGTGATGGCTGATATCGTTAAATTTGATCAGTTTCACAACACTTCTCTTTTTCTTTTACTTAAGGGCGCACTTTAAATTTTAATAATGAAAAATTAGTCATGAAGACTTGACCTATCATCCACTATAGTAGGCTTGAGAGGGCACCTCGAAGCGGTGTAATGGTTAACAAGCTTGTCTCGTTAGAACAATTACGACTTAGTGCACGCGCGTTAAAAAGCCAAGATGTTTCGACATTTACATGCGTGTTCGAGAACCAAAGTAGTTGTATGTTGATAATTGGTCACTTTATTCCCAATCCCGAAGTAAACCAGATATAGTCTAAGGGAGATTATGTTGCGTCAAGTCGAAGTAAAAGTACATCCTACTTTCGGCCTTGTGCCACATCTAAGCTACAATTAGAAAATCACTAAAGTCGGCTTAAGTAGAAAATTACCTTTACTCATTTTTGGTTTAGCACTCCCAACGAAAATAAACAGTGGTTTTTATTTGAAGGAATTTAAGAAGGATATATTTTTTTTTCAGAGCGGACGATAATGACTGATTTAAGTCCCTTGAGGGAAGCAAATGGAAAAGGATTATCCACTCCTTGAAGATTAAGGAATTTAGCATTCAGTCTAAAATGTCAAATGACAAAGATTTGAATTAGACAAGGAAGCAATTTGCTTGGTGTTTCTAGCTTTTTTAAAATAAAGTTTTTTTTTTTAACTATAAAAATAATTCATAAATAACTCTTCTGTTAACTTGGGGCTTACCTGGCTACTCTTCAGGGTACATCTCAAGGCGTATTAATGCTCACGGGCGTACCAGCTTAGAAAGGCTGAATTAGAAAATAACTGTTTCAATTAAATGTTAAAGACTAGTAATTTTTAAGAAAAATCTTTTTTTTTCTCAGAGAGGCCGATAATCACTGATTTGTTCCTAGAGGGAAGCAAGTAGGGGAAGGATTATCCACTCCATGAAGATTAAAGAATTTAGTATTCAGTCTAAAATATCAAATGACAAAGATTTGAATTAGGCAAAGAAGCCATGTGCTTGGTGTTTTTAGCTTTTTAGAAATAAAGATTTTTTTTTAAATATAAAAATAATTCATTTGTTAACTTGGGGCGTACCTGGCTACTTTTCAGGGCACATGTCAAGGCGTATTTATGGGCACGGGCGTACCAGCTGAGAAACGCTGAATTAGAGAATAACTGTTTCGATTAAATGTTAGAGGCTCTAGCATTTTTTTTGTTTTAACTGAGGAACGTTCAAGAAATTGTGCATGATTTTTGTCAATTTGCTAATATTCTTACTTTTATTTTCGCTTTTCCTTTTCTTTTAGCATCACTAAACAAAGAAAAGAGTTCAGAATTGTTACTTGATGTCAATCCTCCTCTATGGCAGTGAATGCTGGACAATCTCCTCAAATTTGAGGAAGAGACTTGAAGCAACAGAAATGTGGCTCTACAGTGGGATGCTGAGGATAACATGGACCGAACATGAGAGCAACGACGCTATTTTAGAAAAAATGAACACAAAAAGAAAACTTATACTTAACATCAGGAAGAGGCAGTTGAAATTTCTACAGAAGGATGCCGAAGATACCATGGACCGAGCATGTAAACAACGCCGATGTTTTAGAGAAAATGGAAAAAAGGAAACTTATACTTGACATCGGGAACAGACATTTGAAATTTCTAGGGCACATAATGAGGAAAGAGGGCTTGGAAAATCTGATATTCACAGGACAGATAGAAGGTAAGCGGGACAGAGGACAGCAACGCATAACATAGTGAGCTTGAGTGAATGGATATTGGAACAAGTTTTAGGGGCTACGAAGGATAGGAAATTTTATAGAGGGCCATGATCGCCTACGCCCTGAAGAAGAAGGATAGACTAACTCGACGCAATGGCCTAAGGGACTATTAACTATAAAAAACGCTATATGGCATATTTAGATATACAAAAGTAAATCTAATTCTGACACAAGGCCCGAAGAGTTCAGCAACTCATTGAGTATCGAAATCCCTGTATCAGCAGTTTTTTTTTAAGGTACTTGCCTGTTAACCATTGCTCAGAAGCAGGCGTCCTAAATCGATCTTTACTTTTTTTAATCAATTCACCTCAGTCAAGGCGATAATTCTACTAAGACACAAGGGGCTACTGGGAATGAAAAAAGAATGTAAAGACTTTAGAAAGAACTGGAAAAACAATCCTAAACAGGTAACAAGGAATAAACCTTTACTCTTGTTCAAAAAACAGAGGAGTTTGAACCGGACTATAGTCGAACTTATCAACTCCTATTGAGGAAAATTAAATATAAAACTGTAATAATTGCCGACGCGTTTCGTCCGGCGTGGACTTTTTCAAGGCGAAACGAAATGAATTTATTAAACAAAGTAACTAATAATAACAAAACAAAATGTCCTTAAATAAATAATCTTAAAATAGTCACAAACACTTTCAAAATCATTATGGATATACTCAGATCCTAAAACACTAATAGCAATAATATTTCTGAAGCAGGCATTTATAAAATAAATTGCCAAAACTGTTCCTCCCAATATATTGGAGAAACAAGTAGAAATTTAAAAAAAAACAACGCATTTATGAACACAAAAGAGACCTCACAAAAAACAACTTAGCTAATGCACTAATCATACATAGAAATAAATTCAACCATAATTTTGATTTTAAATATGCTACACTTATGAGAAAAGAAAATTACTCACTCAGAAGGAAAATCCTCGAGAGTGCTACCATTGAATATTACCCAAATATTAATCTACGTCCAGGCTTTTTCCCTATTTCATCTTTCTTAACAGAATTACTACTCTCCTAGACAAACGTACAGAACAGTATCAATAAATCAAAAGAAAATGGTTGAATCAGTGAATACAGCAATAATAACAATATCTCCACACGTGAGAGTAATTGACGTAATTTTCAGTAAACAGTATGAAATAGTGTTCTCTGAATTCTTCCAGTTGCTAAGGACATTTTGTTTTGTTATTATTAGTTACTTTGTTTAATAAATTCATTTCGTTTCGCCTTGAAAAAGTCCACATTGGACGAAATGCGTCGGCAATTATTACAGTTTTTCTATTGTCTTTTACATTTATAAATATTTTCTTTTTATGCAGGTTAATTCTGAGAAATATTTCATATATATATATATATATATATATATATATATATATATATATATATATATATATATATATATATATAAAGGATTTGGTGTATTGGGGCAGTAGATCATTATCAAAACATATATTGTTAAATATAACAATCAACGAATGTCTATTATGTTTGATCATGAGCATTTTCTAAGCTTTGTATAGTGATTTTAATTTCTGGAGAAAATGAAGACAAAAACTGTCTAATATTTGGATATATTTTTTATTATGCTGCTCCTCAATCTAACCTTTAGGCTCACCTGAGCCCTCATCGTAGTGATTATATGGACATAACAACAGAGATGTTCACCATCAAAGATTATGACATCCTGTTAGGTTTACATAGAAGTTTACTATGCGATGATAATGGTCACAAGAGTTGACAATTTCCTCGGCATGATTTGTCATATATAATGTATATTTCTTAATATATATATATATATATATATATATATATATATATCGAAATAAAAGTATAAAATTTAATATTACAAGACATATTAAACAATAAAGAATAAAAAAACACAACAACGGAGGGGGGGAAGCAACCGGTTTCGCTCCCGCTCTTCAGGCTTCAACGGGAGATTCAAAATTAATACAGAAAAATGTACAATAAGGAATAGGGAAATATATATCTATATCTATATCTATATATATATATATATATATATATATATATATAGATATATATTAAATAGCTCTGTTATTTTACATTGAGCGCTGCTTTTGCTTACACTATTTATACTTTTTTATATGTATTTGTATACTGTCAATCGCTCGTATAGGTACCTAATTACATATATATATATATATATATATATATATATATATATATATATATATAAGAATGTATAAACATATGTATATATATATATTTGTTATCATTTTAAAGAAAAAAAACCAAGACGGTTGGTGGAAGCAACGGATAACTTGACAGAAGACCTAAATACTCTTAAACAAGATAAAATCCCGAAGAAGAACAGCAATAAGAAAAAGAAAGAGACTTAATGGCAAACACCTACCTACTAAGTAAAAAGTAAACTGATCGATGATTAGATTTCCTCGACAGAGGAAAGAACGCTTGACAACGTTAATTCCAATGAAAGGATGATTTTAGTCGTAACCCGATATATATATATATATATATATATATCGGGTTACGACTATGACATGCCAAATCAGACGTCTAGCCACACTGATGTGCTGTGATACAGCGAAACAATCTGAAATCCGGGAGAGTTCTCTAGAGAAATGGGTAATTGTAAAAACAGTGGCTACTACTTCTATTAACGTATTGCTCTTCATCTATGAATTGAGCTCTCTGACGTATTTCGTATAGAAAACGTTAAAATTTGCTTTTCTCTCTGCAGTACGACGATAGCCTAGGGGTAGAATCTCTGACTGATACCAAATCTCGGTCGCTGGTTTTGAATGCTAAACAAAAGCAACCAACAAATCTGTTTTCTTTCAGGATATGTGCGGCCATAGTTCCCCTAATTTCCTGTTTTTGTTTCTTGACGATCCTTTCTCGTCTTTGTGGTTCTTGTTTTATTTATTTACTCAAGTAGATTACCTTTCATGCACCTTATGGATATTAAATTCTCCAAGCAGTCTTTCCTCATTTCGGTATCTTCGATGTGAAAGTAAGTACAAGTACTTAGTTGTCTAAGTACTGTTTTAACAGAGAACAAAGAATGTGACAGAAATCCATTGGAATTTGCCTTCCAAAATCTAATCATGTTAAATAAAAAAAATAGGAAACCTTTGCTCGAAAGAAACGAAGAATATAATGCTGAATTGTTATGTAATATCAATCTTATATGCCAGAGAACACTGGATAATTTTGTCAAAGATGAAGTGAAGCCTCAACACAGAAGAATGCTGGTAATACAGGAAAATGGCAATAACAACGTAGTTTCGAGAATTGATTTGTTTTGTTTGTTGAACGACACATCAACTCTTTATGGGTCATTTAATGCCAAAATTTAATTTTTGGGGGTGCTTTGAAATAATAAAAATATAATATATGTTATTCCGTTTTCACAATTGAATACATGGTAGATGATACTCAGCTTTTGTGGATATACATGTTTGTGTGAACATAATTACTAGAGGCAGCGATATGTGTGTTTTATGTTGTTTTGGAATACAGTTTGATTTCTTTAAGAAATTGTAGGATATTATATGGATTAATGTCATGGAAAAGTTTTTCATGTTGATTGTTTGGTTGATTGATCTTGTTTAGCGGCATATCGACCTCTATGGGTTATTTAATGCTGGAATCTAAATATTTTGAACACAAATTTGTGGCTTCAACTGAATATATTTTGAACGCAATTCTATGCTTTCAGTTACAGATAAGTTTGCTATAAAATGTGTTGCTGTTAATTCGACTATGAAATATATTGTTGGTAATTTTACTATAAATATGTATTTCTATATTTTCACACTGTTTTATTTTTGTTTTTTGGGGGGATCACTTTTTGCCTATAGCTGGTATCCTTACAGGTGTTAGCAACCCAGGTCAGGGTGAAGCTAGGAAGAATATCAATTAAGAGGCGCTTCCATGCTCCTGAAAACCTCCAATCTCCACATGAAAGCCCTTGCTGCCAGATCAAGTTTATTGTCATAACCAGAGTTAGTAGTTTTTAGAGAAATGTCAACAAAAGGACACTTGTATTGAGAATCAAAAAGGGTTGAAATTTATTGGGCACTTAATAAGGAAAGACGGCTTGGAGAATTTGACACTCACCAAATATAATGAAAGCAAGGGAGAAAGAAGCAAAAAGCGAGTAAGCTATTTAAGGCGTTTGTGCAAACGGGTGTCAGAACAGGGAATTGGAAGGAGAGTAAGGAGACAAACATTGCTAAAAGAAACGAAGGATGTGAAGTTGTGGAGAGCCGAGATCGTCAGCGCCCTGAAATGACACAGCACATAAAAGTAGAACAACATATATGCTTATGTCGTCTATCATTATTAGAAGGAAAAAACTTTTTAAAGAATAAAGATAGTGAAATTGGGAAAAAAGAAAGAAAGCGAAGAAAAATAAAAATTGAAGATAAAAGAAAGAAAATGAAGGAAGGTAAAACGAAAAAGAAATAGAGAAATAAAGAATGAAAGAAATGTAAGATTTAAAAAATTCACGGGGAAGAAAGAAAATGTGAATTTAAAAAGAAATAAAGTAATCGAAAGATCAATGAAAAATAAAAATAGAAATTGAAGATAAAAGAAACAAAACGAAAGAAGAAAATAAACAACGAAAGAAAAAGACAAAAAAAGAATTTAGAGAATGAAACCAAAGAAAAAGAAAAATTAAGGTAGAATAGAACAAGAAATAAAGAATGAAAGAAAGAAGGACGATAGAAAGACATCAAAAATGAATTTTGAAAGAAAGAAAGAAAGAAAGAAAGAAAGAAAGAAAGAAAGAAAGAAAGAAGAACGATAGAACAGAATTCGCAAAAAGAAATCAAAAATAACTTTTGGAAGAAAGAAAGGAAAAAAGAAAGAAAGAATAAATTAATGAATGAATGAAGGAAAAAAGAAAGAAAGAAAGAATGAATGAAAAAAATAAAGAATGAAAGAAAGAAGACCGATTAAACAGAATTCGCAAAAAGAAATCAAAATGAATTTTGTAAGAAAGAAAGAAAGAAAGAATAAAAAAGAACGAATGAAAGAAAGAAAGAAAGAAAGAAATAAAGAATGAAAGAAGGAAGACCGATAGAACAGAATTCGCAAAAATAAA